GATGCCGGAAAAGTTCATTAACCTGGGGGCCAAGTTCCCCAAGGGAGGGCTCCTTTGGGGGCCCCCGGGGAAAGGTGGGTTGCCCCCCCCCCCCCCCCGGCTATTGCGCGGGCGTGCACCCAGCTTGAGAGTGTACGGAGAGGGTGGTGTTGTGGAATTTCGGATCTAGGCACGTTTTAAGAAACCCCCGATACCACGAGTCCGCTGCTGGGGACAACGATGCTGCTTGCTGGGTACATGATGCCCTCGTATCGCAATGGTGTCAAAAACAAGAAAAAAAATGTAGTCGGTATTTCACACAGCCCCCACGTTGCAACGATGCAATTTTTTACTCATTTGTACGCGTCGTCGCTGTGCTTTTTTTTTTTTTTTCGTGCAGGCAAGACTCTTTTGGCGAAGGCTACGGCGGGTGAGGCCAAGGTGCCCTTCTTCACCGTGTCAGGTGCGTTTCTTGTCTACGTACATACAGTATGTCTCAAAATACTTTGTGTTGCAATTGCAGAAGCGGACAAAGAAAAGTAAGAAGGGGGGTAAGAGCAGGTGTGCCTCTTGTCTACATACAGTATGTCTCAATACTTTGTGTTGCATTGCAGAAGCGGACAAAGAAAAAGAAGAAGGGTATATCGAAAAGAAAAAAATCGTATACAACTATAGTTGAGTTTTAAGCATCTCTTTTCTTTCTTTTTGGGAAGACATGTGTACGGTACATGGCCAACTTGACCATCGCAGTTTTGGGGCAGCCTTCTCGCTGTCGCCGTCGTAATTAAGTAGTGCCCGTACTTTTGTGCCGAAGCTTGGAGCGTCCTCTTTCTTCGCACGTGGAACGCCTCCCGAATCCTTTGAACCCACTCCGTCCTTCTTTTTTTTTGTTTTCTCTCAAGATATCGAACGAATCCATCTCTGTCCATAGATTACGGTCTAGGATTTATTTTTCAATGAATTCATGGCGTCACCCGAGCACACTGCCTGTGTTCAATGGATTCCCCAAGCAAAATACAGCGGTTCCTTGTTTTTCGTGCCACGTAGCTCAAGAACTGGGTCATACTCAGGCAGTTACCAGCCTGACGAAGCTACCTTCGTGGTTTCAGACCTGACGTCGAATCATTTTCACCGCTGTTACTCTGCACCAAAGACGGGTAGATAAGACCCGACGCACATCGCCCACTCCCGTCTCCCCGCCTTTTTATCTCCCCGGTTCGTCCTTGATAAACGGGGCCTGGGCCGGCGAAAACCCGGAAGGCACATCGCTCCGCCCGCCATGGCGAGGTCGATGGCCTAACGACCACGGCATGCGTTTACATGAACCCCGTCCCGTTCACAACCTGAAACGGTGACTATCTAACAAAAAAACAATCGCAGGTTCTGATTTCATCGAGATGTTCGTGGGAGTCGGCCCCGGGCGAGTTCGCGACTTGTTCAAGGAGGCCCGCAAGAACGCCCCTTGCATCGTGTTCATCGACGAGATCGACGCCGTCGGCCGCAAGCGCGGGAAGGGCCAGTTCGGGTACGTGTGGACCTCTTTGATGTTAAAAGGCTTGTCTATTATCGCGGACGCGTAGTATGCCTACATGCGTATTTTGCTTTGCAAGGACGTAGCACTGATTCTTTAGTTTGAAAAAACGCATAATTGTGGGGTCGCCTGGTTGCATTTCAGATTGACACAACCACCACCTGATGTTGTTCGACCAGGAACGAATCGAAACAAAAATCATAAAGGAAAAGGGGTTTTGTGAGGCTGGAGTGTTGGGAGCGGATGAGAACAGTATATTGAGATGAGTTTAGGGAAGATGTTTTGGCCGTGCCGCCCGTGCGACCGGCGAGTTTTTCTATTTCGCTCCTTTTCTCGCGCTGGAGGCGTGTTTGCATTGGGATGCGAAGGGTTGCCCGAAGTGTCTCTGCCCGAAGTGTCTCCAAGCCAGCACGCATGTACCTTGGAAGCAGTCATAGGGGAGAGGGAAGAGATGATGGCCGACGACAACACGAATACCTGCAACGCCCATCTATGAAGCTGCGACAACAATAACGACGACTTCGATGTCGTTATGCGTTGTAAACCCCACCCCGCACGAATACCACCTCCTCAAGACCCCGGGGCAACAAACACCGCCTCCTCGTTAACCCCCCCCAAGTCATTCGTCCAACAACACCTCCTAGTACCCCCCCCAAATCGTTCGACTAACACCGCCTACTCGTACCCCCTCCCCTATCGTTTGACATAAGACCGCTTACTCGGACCCCCCCCCCCCTCCCCATCCCTCGGATTTGAATTACGGTACATGTACTAAGGGGGGGCAACGACGAACGAGAAAACACGCTGAACCAGCTCCTGGTGGAGATGGACGGTTTCTCGTCCAACACTAACGTGGTCGTACTGGCGGGTACGAACCGAGTCGACGTGCTAGACCCGGCGCTCACGCGGCCGGGGCGCTTCGACAGACAGATCACCGTGGACAAGTGAGTTTCACTGTAAGACGAAATGAGTTTTACTGTAAGACAAAGTGATTTTTGCTGTAAGACAAAGTGATTTTTACTATAAGACAAAGTGAGTTTCAATGTAAGACGAAGTGAGTTTCACTGTAACACGAAGTGAGTTTCACTGTAAGACAAAGTGAGTTGCACTGTAAAGACAAAGGGAGTTTCACTGTAAGACAAACTGAGCTTCACTCTAGACAAGTGATTTCACTGTAGGCAAGTGAGTTTCTTCTTCGTTGTTTTTTTGCACTTTTTCTTTTTTGTTTTGCTCGGCGACGCTGATTTGTACACACTAGAAGCCCGTGAGGTTTTGATTGACAGATCGCCGTACACAAGTGAGTGTGTCTCTTTTTTTACTCTGTTTCTTTCTAGTTTGTTCTTTGCTCAATGATGACACGATGACATGACTTGTACACTCATGCGGCGGGACCTTTCGACAGACAGATGATCGGATCATTGTAGACGAGTGAGTTTTTTTCTTGATTGTTTTTCCTGTTTCTATTACTTTTTTTTGTTGTTTGGTCTTTGCTCGATAACGACACTGGTGTGTACACGCTCGCAAGGCGGGAACGTTTTCGGTAGGCGGATAGATCTGATCTCACCGTGAACAAGTGAATTTTCTTCTTTTTTTTTTTGGCCTTGCTCAACAGCAACGCTAAGTTGTGTACGTAAAAGTGGTCGTCGGGAGTGAATTGTAGGGCAGCGAAATTTTGGGATTTTGTGGTAAGCCGACTCTCTGGTACGTACGTGACACGTAAGTGGTATGTCATTCCGTAAGACTTGGTGCTCCCTACAACCACTGCTGCCCTGCTTCGAAATGACGCCGCCTTTAACACCCTGAGCCCCCCCCCAGAAGCACACACATATGTATTGATTGCCTGGTATTATGGAGTCTTCCCCTTGTGCTTTAGAAGCACAACACTGCTGTCGTCCAACTCTCTTGCACCCCCCGTCAGTAGGACCAGGTGCATTAGAGAGCCTGTTTCTATTTTTGGTATCCCGCTGAAGTATGAAGACTGACATCTTTTCATTGATCAGCGGGTTTCACGTCAGTGCTACCGTATATGACACAAGATAACACACCCCCTGGGCCGATTTTCAAAGCTCGATTTCTCAACAGCAGGAAGAGTCACAGCGCCGAAAACGGCGGCGTTGGAACCGTCTCGTCGAGAGGTTTTCGAAAATGTATTGTTTCGTTTATGCATCCTCTTCGTCGTGGAGTAATCGAGCTTTGAAAATCGGTCCAGGGGGTGTGTTATCTTGTGTCATATACGGTAATTGTGAAAAAACTCAGACACACTCCGTATGCAAAAAACTGCAGTGTTTTCATTTGGTCGGGCGGCTACAGCGCGTCCGATGCTTGTTCAAACACACAAACACACCATATGCAACGTGGTCGTTGATATTTTTAAACACCCACGCCATCTCATCCGACGGCGGCGATGGGACAGGCCCGACATCATGGGCCGCAAGGCGATCTTCGAGGTGCACCTCAAGGGCCTCAACCTCGGCGGGAAGTCGTCCGAGTTCTCCGGCAGGCTTGCCGGGCTCACCCCGGGCTTTGTCGGCGCGGACATCGAGAACCTCTGCAACGAGGCCGCCATCGTGGCCGCCAGGCGGGACAAGAAGAAGATCGAGATGGACGACTTTGAGGTGCGGGGGCCATAGAAGAAGGGGGGCGCAGGGGGGGGGGTGATGAGGACGGTACTCATGGGCGAAGAAAAGACATGCGGGTGGTTGGTGTGGCAGTGAATGTATGAACGACGTGACAAGGGGGTAGGGACAACGGGACAAAATATTTATTTGGGGTGGGGTTACAAGAAGAAGATCGATATGGACGATTTTTCGGCGCGTCAGCGGGGGAGGGAGTTTACTCCTAGCCGTGCATACCGTAGTCGTTAGACCATTGACCTCGCATCCCTACCAAGCCGGGACGGAGCACGTCGAGTTTTTCGCCGGACGAGCTTTTCACCGGACCAGGCTATCATAGCACATCACCAAGCCCAGGGGCGATAGAATAGGGGGGGGTTGACAAAGACGGTGACTCGTGGGTGATACGCGAGGGCTTGGTTTTCGCGGTGAACGTTATTCAAGATAAAACATGAAGAAAAGTATGATTTTTTTCGGAAGTGTTCTTGTTGCAATTCTAATGGGACAAGACGGCACGAGGCGAAGAACATGGTGTAGGGGTTAAGGAAGACGTTTGACTCCAAGACAATATATATGGGAAGTATATTCTCGACTCAAGATCAACACAAACCAAAAAGAATGAAAAGTGAAGTGAAAATGGTTGTGTGCCAACATGTGAAACGCATGGATCGTTCCCATGTTGTTTTATTTACTTCGTTTGCAAGACGCTTGTGTGAAATAATAAAAGCCGCGATCGTGTCAGTTTGATCATTAGGGACCAAATTTCTGTCGTCAATGAAGCATGACAGACCTACACTACAACGGAACTCTGTTGAATCCAACGGAACTATTGCGTTGGTTCCTCCAACAGTCAGCGACGGACAGAGTAATCGGAGGCCTGGAGTCCAACAAGCTGATCATGCCGGAGGAAAAGAGGATAGTGGCGTACCACGAGGCCGGGCACGCCGTTGCCGGGTGGAACCTGGAGCATGCAGACCCGCTCATGAAGGTAAGTTTCGGCCGCGCCTCCTGGATGCCCGGAAGTTCTTCGCCGCCCCCGCTCCCAGCGCGCGAGCACTGCTGCTGTTTTTTGTGGCGGCGGTGTTGGAGATGTGTTTTTCTTTGGTTTTGGTGGTGGTAACTCCGGCCCGCACTATGTAGCGCGCTCGGAATGAATACTACAGGAAGCGCTGCCAGTAGTGAGTAGACATCCCAAAAGTGACCACATCGGTTTTGATGGAATGGGACTCTGGCCTGAGCACCTGGTGTTAAGCTTGAATTCTTAGGTTTCGACCGTTTGAGAGACTGAAGTTTAATTTATTCCCTCGTTGTTCTTGGAGGGCTGGCACGTTCATGCTCTGTCTCTTGGGAACTGTGATTTTCGAGTGAAGGTTGAGGAAAGGGGGAGGGGCTGCTCGGGAGCAATCCGCTTCGTGAAGCTTTTTGTCGGTTTCGGTCAGGGCGTCCGTCGCACGTATGGCGATCTGGGGGTTTGGCGGGAGCGTTGCGGTTGTTGTTGTTGTTGTTGTCGTTGTTTGCGGTGAGAGACACGCCGACGCGCACAGGTCAACCGTGTGCCAAAAGGCGACGACGTCCCTCTCTGCGACATGGGTGTTGAAGTTGTTGGCTGCGGATACCCTTGGCTTTCTGTCGGTCCGTAGTCGTAGATTGTCGCCAGGAAACATTTCGTCGTGAGCACTTGTGTTGGTATTGCTGTTTGGGTCGGCTGTGGTGGTGATGCTGACGACGGCCAGGACGAGACACAGGGAGCCCGGTGGTTTATTCCTCCTCTCACCTTCCACTAAACTTGCTATCGAACAGTTTTTCTGGGCCTCCTATTGAACCTTCTCTGAATCTGTATGTTTCCCTGCCTGCCGACGCCCTCTCCTTTCCGGGTACCCTCGTCTGTCTGCCTGTCTGTCTTGAATGTTTCTCGCGCGCATCGACGCACAGGTGACCATCGTGCCGAGGGGATCGAGCACGCTGGGCTACGCGCAATACCTGCCTAAGGAGGTCAGTTACTACACCAACCCAGACCGGCAGACAAAGGCACAGACATCGGGTGGAGAAGTTTTATGTTTTCAGTGAATGCGGGAGACCTCGGGGCCTTTTTTTTGTGCCTAGAAAAGGCCACGACATAAAGACCAAAAGGATTGTCCTCGTTCATGTTTTTCATTCCAAAACGTTTTTCAACCTCCCTGAGTGTTTATCTTGGTGGCGAACGGTGGCCGTGGAAAAGGTGTGTAGCCATCCAAAGGGTAGTACTCTCGTCGGCGCCCACTATCGGTCGGCCTCTACGTTGACTATGACGTTGACGAAACACACGCGTAATGTTTTATTTGATTGATTAGGCGGATCTACAACCAGTCCTAAGGGTGCCCTATCTTTTCTCTCTTTTACTTGTATCTCACGGAAGGAGTCCACGTCAGTCGGACCGGTACGGAATCTAGAACGTACCGACCAACGGTTTCTGTTGATAAGATAGCGACAACAACAACAACAACAGCATCACCATCCCTGCTTTTTCCTGGGCGCGTTTGTCTCTCCCTTCTGCTGGCGGTAGCACGCAGAAAGGACACCTGTTGCAGTCCATGCCTTCGTTGCTAATTCCGGGAGAAGTGAAACAGTCTCTTTTCGCCGCCGCCACATTTTTTTTTTATTCTATGAGATAGCACAACGAACCCATGTCTACCCACAGACGAATCCAGGATTAATTAGAAACGAATCCATTGCGTTAGCGGCGCCCATTGTCTGTTGTTGCTCTCACGTTGAACTTCACCGCCCTCGTTTTGTGTGTTTAATATGAGCACCGCCCGCCCTTACCGGCTGACCGAAGAGAATACGTCAGTGCCAGCGGTTGAGTGCACTCAGGGTCTCGCTGGATCGGGACCAAAAGTTCGAAAATCGAGCAATGCGGTGAATGTGTGTGGGCGTGTTTTCCTTCTCTCTCTGACCTATCACCTATCTATCTACATTTTATTTATTTATTTATTTTTTTATTTTTTTCCAGGTGTTCCTCCGCACCCGTGAGCAGATCACGGACATCATCTGCATGGCTCTCGCCGGGAGAGCTAGCGAGCAGGTCCACTTTGGGGATGTGAGTTTCCGAAAAACAAAATTGACGAGATTTTTTGTATTGTTTTTTTCTCTTGTTGTGTTTTCGGTTGCTGTTCATGTTTTGCCGAAAATCAGGCAGTCCTTTCTTTCTCACATCTTGGTGAGGAACTTTTGTGTTGATGAGATGCGCGACTGCAGGTTGTTGCTTGGAAGTCAATTGTGACGTTCTCCTTTTCCGAACCTACTTGGAAGAACGTGCTGAATTTCAGCGTCGGTGGGTGGGTGATAAGTTGCTGCTGACCTACATGTGTGCACGCGTGGGCTCAAGTTGATGCACAATTTTGTTACTTTTCCTGGGCACGGTATCACATCGCACAATCCTCGGGGAAATTGTTTTTTTTTTGCGTCCAACGATGCGTCTTCACCGTCAGAATCACAGCGTCGAGGGAAAATGTAATACGTGCCTAAACCTCTGGTTGCGTATTGTGATGGAGACCGAAACCGCTTCGTTGTGGGAGGGATTGTGAGCAGTTCCGCCTCATGCTCTTCTGTTTCTCCTGTTTTTTTCATTCCGTGGAAAATGTTTCAGCAATTCCGTCACATGCCCTCCTGAATGTTGTCTTTTTTCTTTTTGTTCGCTTCGTTTTGAAAAGGTGACGACCGGGGCTTCGGACGATCTTCGAAGAGTAACGGCCATGGTTTACCAGATGATCGGGGTGTACGGCATGGGAGACGGCATCGGGCAGCTGGCCTTTCCGCAGGAGAATGGCGGCGGCGGGTTCCCTCAGGAGAGGTGAGGGAGGCGTCATTTTCTTGGTCGCTTCTTCGGCTTTGCTGATTGGTTGGTTGTTTTTATGGAGAGGTGAGGGGGGCGTCATTTTCTTGGTTCCTTGTTGCGGCTTCGCTTATTGGTTTGTTGTTTTCAGAGGGCAGTTGTGATCTTGTGGTCGAGGAAACTTGGCGGCACGTCGTCGTACTAGTTTATGTTATGGGGGGAGGGGGGGGGGGAGGTCATTGCAGTTGATACTGCTGCTGCTGTTGCTGCTGCTGTTGCTGTTACTGCTGTTACTGCTGTTATTGACGTTGTCGGTCTTTCGGGTTGAGCCTGTTAGTTGCCGCTCTCGCGCACCTGCGATCAATCAACACCTCCCCGGTCTCGAGGGACTACACCATGCGGTTCTGCCGCAAGCCACGGCTGGCACACAACAAGTGGGCCATGTATACCCTTTTTTCAGCCGATACTGGAGTACCCGTTGCCTACACAGAAGAGCAAGAACATCCATCTCGCGCCGGGGATAATATAAGGAGGCCAGCACGTCCCCGCCTGCCTCGGAGGGAACCGGGGGCCGCTCGGTATCGGTTCCCATGGAGGCGTTTTTATTACAATCTCGTTACATCTTGCTGTCCTATATCAGCCGGACGGCACTTGAACATGTTCGACACCCTCAACGTTTTGCTGCTTGCCTTGTCACTGCCACGTTGTCTTCATCTTGCGATTCTTGTTTTGCCACAAATAAAAATCACCTTTCGCTTCTTGGCTTGCCATTCTCTCTCTTTTTGTTCTGTAGGCCGTACTCCGATGCAACCGCTGAGAAGATGGACCTGGAGGCGAGGAAAATGGTGGACAGCGCTTACCAGCGGACGTTAGAACTCGTCGAAGCTAAGAAAGAGCAGGTGAGTCGTCTCGAAACATTGTAGACCGGCCAATAAGTAACGCAACAGGCCTTGACATGCATATTGCAGCATCGTTTTCGCTTGATGTAGTGAAATGGGGTTGGCTGTTCGAATGCCGCTGTGTAGCTCGTGGTGGTTGATTGAATACGGCGATATATCGTGCGAAATCAATGAAGAAATTATGACTGTGAATCGGTTCGGTGATCTTTCTTTTGAGTTGTTTTTTGCAATATTGCACGTCTATGAATCGGTTCGGTGATCTTTTTAGAGTTTTTTTTTTAATATTGCACGTCATGTGCCTAGTGGTGATTGTTGGAGGAAGTTGACCCCTTGTTTTGATGAAGTTCAGTGGTGTGCCGATTCAATCTTGGCAAGAAACACTGGTCTCTCTTGCTGTATACGTGGCGTACCGTAAATGTTTAGAGTGTTTTCGCCCTCATCGTCATTTTTCATTTTTGCACCCCGTGCACCCGCCCCCCCCCCGTGTGCAGGTCTTTTGCTTCCATTCCCCGAACCCCCCAGGACACTTTTGAGAAAAAAATCCAGCGTGTCCTCCTGTCTTCCAACAATCCAAAAATATTTGACGAACTAATAGAACGCGAATTATCACAAAGGTAAAAACAACAAACTTTTTTGTCCCCTGATATTTTTACTTGTGATTGGTGTGGCCATCACAATATCACAAAGGTAAACACAACAGACATTTATTTTCCCTCATATTTTGACTTGTGATTGGTATGGACATCACAAGGAGGCAAATACTTGCGTACATTTTTTTTTCTTCCCGAATAAGACCTCTCGCACGTCATCTATTCATGCCACGCGCGCGCAGATCAAGCTCGTGGCCGAGCTCCTCCTCGAGAAGGAGACGATCAACCACGACGACCTGGTGTCCCTCATCGGCGCCCGTCCCTTCAAGGCCCACAAGAGCTACCTCGAGTTCATCTCCGCCAACGAAGACGCAAAGCAAAAGATGGCTGACAGCAAGGACGAGGCAGCAGCATCAGCATCGGCAACAGATACAGCAACGGAGGAGGCGAAGTCGGGGGACGGGGACTCCGCTGCTGGGGAGGGGAAGGGGGGGAAGGGTAGCAGCGGCTCGGCGGCGGCGAGCAGCTCAAAGGGGCCGTGATTTTGATTAGGGGAGGCGGCGTGCCGCCAGAGGGAGAGCCGTGATTTTTGCCTAGAGATTTATGTTGCTCGGTGCAAGTCGGGTCGGCGTTTTGGTTTGGTGTTAGTTCGATTGACCGCTGCGGCACTCGTTTCCTGCTGCATCATAGCGCAGGTTTTGCGGAGAGATGGTGCGGGTTCCAAGTATGACCTCCATCGTCCAGCGTGGTTGAGCTTTGCAGGGTTAGCGCGTGGTTTCGTTTCTCATAGTATTTAGTTGCCCGGCCCTCCGTGATGCACAGCTACTCCTTCCCGGCACGATATGGCTACCTGTCGGACTTCCTTGGGATTTCCAACGACGTGTATAAGGGAGGCGTTTTTGAGAAGCATTTGTGTTGTTCGGGTCGGGTGGGTCGCACAACTACACACGGTTGGAGAAGAATAAGAACAACACACAGCAAGATGAACAATACCCAGCTGTTGCTGCCGTATTTATGGGAAACCGGGGAACATGACTCCCTCTGATGTTGTCGCCCCGCTCTTTCGTTTACTGACAAGAGCCACACAGGAAGACGCATCGCGGCATCTACTGCTCTGGTTAACGTGTGTCGGGTTGCGAACCGGTCCTCGAGTTCGAGTTGACTCCGACGAGCATCCGATTTAGCCGGGAAGGGACCCCACTTGGAAGCAAGGCCCGAACGCATCGCCACACCACTTCTAGTTTCGTTCCACCCCGCCCGGTATAGCATTTTTCTCTCCATTTCTGTGCGCTTGTGCTTGCAGCACTACTGTATTTTCGCAGCACTGCTGCGCTCTGCGAGAGGTATGCATGCCCACACAAGGACCATCGCTCTGCTGCACCGAGGGGCTCGAGCTTGGAAATCTGTCCTCGCGGTGTGTATCAGTCTTCTGGATTGCGAGGACCCCCTAAAGGAACTAGAGGGCGGTGTTGGGGTGAAACGCGGTGGAAGAGGTTGGTGGTCTTGGTGGCGACTGATCCGCGTTGGTAGTAGCTAGATGGTAGCATCCGTGCTCCGTGTGGACGCTCTCATCACGATGTCGTTTGTCTTTTTCCCTTGGCAAAGTTTTGTTTTTTCATGTTCGGTATGATCATCGGTGGGTACTTTGTGGTTGGCGACGCAAGTGAGTCGAAAGAAACGAACACGGTAGCAACAGGGAAATAACTCGACATCGGGATCCTGAGATAAAAACGTCCCCACAAAGTTGCCATGCAGGCCTTGGCAGAACCAGCGGATGGGTATCAAGCTTAGGCCGTTCGCAAAGAGGGCACGTGGCTCACGCGGAAAGTCAGCGCAAGAACAGATGTTGCCCGATTGCAAAGGATGGGTTCTCCAGTCCGCTCTAAGGCCCGGTGGTGCCGGCTACCGCACGCGATAACCGTCCGGGCGAATCCCTGCCAATGTCACACGTCGCAAGACAAGTGTCTCCGCAACAACAACAGTCTCCACGAAAAGAAAGACGCCGTTGCCGCATGCTGGTCGTGCTGCCGACGCGGTCACATCCACCCCCCTCCCCCCCTCATGGAAATATGACTGATGCAACGCAACGGTATCCCAACACGGGACCTATACACAAGAGTTTGTTGCCTTCTGCTGCGCCGCCCTTGACTCCCCTCGTCCCTCCACCACCGGCTCCTGTCGAAAGCCAAGCGACTCCGGTACACTCAAAATTGCACAACAATACCACAGGCGGTGTTTTTGGGCGTCCTCTAAGCATCATGGGCACATGAGGAAAAGAGAGAAAACATCAAAATTCAAATTTCCCTCAAACTCGCACTACATGCGGCAAAACACACGCACGGCAGTGTAATCTCAAAAGGCGCAGAGGAAGCACTGCGTCACGCAGACATCGTTCAACGACAACCAGCAGCGGTGTACTCCAACAGGACACGACACTCCTAGAAGAGCGAGAACGGATTCACATCCGATAACACACTTCGTTGCTGTTGGCTTTCCGCGAACAAACGGGTGTCGTCTTCGGTTCTGCAAAGGCCAATCTACAAAAAATATCCGCGTCCTCCTTTACCCTAGACACCGGGTACGACGGTCCACGCGCCGGGTTAGTTGCCGCCGGAGATGATCGCCGAGAGGATCTGCTCCCGCGAAATGCCGGTGCCCATCTCGACCTGTCAGCGCGGTGATTATCGGATTAACATGATGTAACATACGTACGGGGTGGGGCAGGTTGTCGTTTTCAACACGGAGAAAAAATATACAGGGGTTCCAACCGAGGCGCAAGGTACCCTCTTACTACGTCGAATCTGTCGCGAACTGAACAAATGAAAAAAGTGGTTTCTGCCGTAGTTTTCAGGGCAAGAATTCCAAAGCACGTGGAATAAAACGAGAAGAATGAGCCAGTTTCGTGTGTGATGGCGCGCCTCGTTGGCGCAGGCGAGGAAAAGCGATGCCAGGAGGATTGTCCTGCCCGGCGCTGAACATCAGACACCGCGGCGCCGCCGCTACTGCTGCTCAAGGGCTAGCCACGACCGAGCCATATCCACTGCAAAACCACGCCGCTCCGTGTGTGCCATGTGACCAGTGACCAGCACTCTCACCACGAAAGCGGTGTGGACGAGCTCCTCGCACCAAGGACGACAAGCCACAACACTGCCCGCGATACTCGCAGCGTTGACAGGATGGAGGCAATGATACTTGCGCTACACGCGTAAGGTAGCAAGGGCAGAGCAGCTGCAGAAATACTAATTGCTTCATGCATCACTTACCAAGGGAATGGCAAGGCAGAAGGCCAGGCCGAAGAGGAGGACGGGTCCAAGAGGCCTGCAACAAAAAAGACAAAATGCATTTCACGAATGGAGGGGGGCTGCAGTTGATCAACATTGAAGCCAGAATAAACGACTGATCGCCGTGATGAAAGAGCTTCGAGCCCGTAATTTAGTGGAAAACAAGAAAAAATGAAAAATTGACCCCAGGGGGGCAACGAGATGGGAGACAAGGCGGGACGAGGCAGAGGCTTTGGTGCGTTTACGTGGCACTCCCTGGTTCAAGACTCACTACACACCAGCGTGGGAACTCCAAAACAAAGATTGTTTTGGTCTACACAACAGCACCAACGATCCATTCGAGTTTTATTGTTGTCTTCATTTCAAATCAGCCCTCACAGCACTTGCTTGCCAGTTTACGACAACTCGTGGTCACACAGAAGGGTTTCCCTCTGCCCACCCCTCCTGCGGTACTTTGCCTTCGATTACTAATGCGAGAAGAGTGCAGCACTCTCTTCCCTCTGTATACACACGAACTTCCGCCCAGGCCAGGAACGGAAGCGAGAGAAACACTCACTTTGCAAGAAAAGCTCGCTCACGCCGGGATTCGAACCCCTTACCCTGAACACTAGAAGGTTTTCAAAGATACAAACTAGACTACCGGGGCGACCACATAAGATCGGAAAAAACTAAGCGGTGAGGCTAGACAAGAACGAAGCGTCACCCTCCCTATCACCAGTCTGACTTGCCTACCCGCAAGCAAGCGCGAAGTCACACAGGAACAAAACTAAGAAAAGACGAGGCGACCACATCTAGGACTTGCCTAGTGGCCGCGATGACGTAGCTCATCTGCATCGTGTCCGACTTCGCGTTAGCCGCGCCGCCGAAACCGGTCGGCCGCACCTGCAGTAAACAAACCAAGCACACAACCGGCAGAATAAGCAAGAGTCGCAATCTGATTGGTGGAAACTCACCGTGAAAAGAGGGAATCGTCTGCAATAAACAGCCAAGCACGACGCAGAGAAAGTAGAGTCGCAATCTGAATCATTGCAGACACATCACTGTGATTAGAGGGAGGAATTGTCTCGACAAACGTGTGGGCAGACTGTACCCCTATGAAGGGGGATCTCCACATTTTCTCAACAACATGCGGCCATTTTTTCTAATCTCCACAGTCCGCAAGCAGGCAGGATTCCCCCTTCCATCGATGATTCTGTTGCCACCCCTCTTCCCGCCCCCCCGGCAGGACCCACATCGAAGGGGCCCCGCTGATTCTCGAGAGGTTCCGCTCGTTGTTGAGTACGTCAGCCGGCTACATAGTTCAGGCTTGAAGACGAACAAAAGCGCCAAAGATGACATCACCAGACGCCGTTGAACAATCGCCAGGAAACCAGGACAAGAACCCCTGAGTAAGCACGAGCCATGCCAGTTGCTAGCCAGTCGTCGCCAGGGACATTCGAACTCCCCATGAATCCACAATCGAAGCCTTTATGCGTTGTGATGAAGCCAACAAATAAACACCGAACGACTCAGTATTGGCTTTGAAAAAAACTCTCGAATACTGCTGTAGACTGCACGCACATCATCAAGCAAAAAACACATTCGAAAAACCGCCCGTTTTCTGTTTTACGTATTTCCCGTATAGTGGCGGTAACTTCGACCGAAGGGGATTAGACTACAGGACTACAGTCATTGGCCGAGGAGGCGGCATACATTACACTCACCGCAAGGAGGTTGGGGTTGCGAGTCACCATCCTGTTACCCGAGTAAGAGATACCGGGTGCGCCATCCACGGCGTGTACGGGGGATGGGCACGGGGACGGGGGGGCAGCGAACAGAGGTGAACAGCGCGTCGAAAGAGGAAACACAGGACAAAATCGAGGAGTTTGATCGTGAAATAAATCCGCTGAAATGGACCACCATGAGACTACCATACAAAAAGCAGTACAAAAAGCAGCCCAACCACATTCAACCCCCACCACCAGTCAAGTTCAGCAATCACCACGTACGATTATCATACATCAGCAGTAGTCCCAAGGCTGCCGACACCTTTGACAGAACATACCGTAGGTTGCAAAGGATACCACACACACCCTGGGCCATGGGCCAATTTTCAAAGCTAGATTACCCTCAGGCACAAAATAGCAACGGTGTCGAAAAATGTCGGCGTTGGAACCGTCTCGACTCAAAACTCGCCGAAAACGTATCATTTTGATCTTGGCATCCTCTTCGTCGTGGAGAAATCGAGCTTTGAAGCTTGGTCTAGGGTGGGGATATGGTATCTTACGTCATGCGACATGCGGCACACACACCCTTTCGTCTCTTCCTCCCCGAACACCTCCGTGAAGGCCTCGAAGGTGGCCTGGAAAACCGACCCGTCGTAGCCGAGGCACGAGGGCGAGTTCTTCACCTGTTAGCAACGCACGCGACACAGCAGCAGCAGTCGTGGCGGGATAGGGTTCAAAAGTTTGGCCGTGGGTGTGGAGGCAAAAAGGGCTGTAGGCATTTCTACCGCCGTGTCCATACCTCCTCCAGAGAGGACGAAAAGCAGCGGGCTTGCTGGCATTTGTTACAATGTATGCCTGTGTGCAAACAACGCCCGCCGGCACGGCAAGCATGTGGCTGCGCCGCCGACTTAATGCCAAGGTTTACATGCCTCCCCAAGCAATGATCGCGAAGCTCCGTACCTAAAGCTACAGAGCAGTTCGTGTTTTTTTTTTTTTTTCTCAATATGACACAACGAATCCTTTTTTTGTTTTTTTACAACAACCCTTAGTACAGACATCAGTACCGATACTTCCAGGTACCGATAGTCTCACGGTACGGCTTCCCTCCCTGGAGGACCTACGATTCTTCATGTTGGTTCGGGGGAAAATCTTCTTTCCTTTCCTGCCTTGTCAACGACGCGGTCGAATATCATTACAATTGTACTTGTATTGTTCATGCACATACTGGCAGACACAAAAAAACACACACAAAAAAAAAACACCACGCCATGGATCTACCGTTGGTGACGCAAGACATCACACCCCCATAGACCGCCGAGCTCGATTGTTCCACAGCAGACCGGCGGTGCCGACCAAAGCCGAAATTATGGTGGCGTTGGGACCGTCTCGTCGATAGCTTTCCGAATCGTTTGATCTAAGCATCCCCTTCGTCATTCGTCGTGGAGTATCGAGCTTCGAAATCGGTCGAGGGGGGGGTGGTGTCTCTCGTCTCATTTACTCTATCAACGGGAGTACCGTTTCGGGCATGAGATATCGACAGCAGGGTCGATACAATAGACAAGTTCCGGTGGTAGCTCTGTTTCGCACACCGCGCACCGATGTAACGGCCGTGTAGACTTACACTATGTAGCAACGGGTCTTTGGCTACCTAAACGACGGGGATGGCCGAAGGGCCGAAGGGCGGGCCAGCACACGAGGCGGAAAAACATGCACCCAGGTGACGTCGTGATCCTCGCTGTTCATGATCTCGAGGCTCACCATCTGCACGGCGTTGTCCTCGCCATAGACCTTGCACATGTCCGCAAAGGTGCCCGCTGCCCTCTTCTCGATCCCCTCGTCCGTCTCCCATCGCTTGGCGCCCACCAACTTCTTGTACCTCGACACTGACGACTCGACGTTCGAAGTCGCTTGCATCACTATTCCTGCTGGTGCTCTGGAGGCTCCTTTGGGACCAACGGAAGCAATTGCTCGCCCGGAGGGCGAACATACGAACGCGCAGGCTTGCCCTGCCAGCAGGCACACACCAAGGTGTAGAGCGTAGATGGCGGATCGCATGGCGGCGGCAAAGTAGGAGAAAGAAGACAGATGCGAGCAGCAGAGCAGAGACGCGGCCAGGTGCGGCAAATTTTTGGTGTACCGGGCCAGCTTTTTAATTTAATTCCGCGGCCGAAGGCCGCGCAACATAATACGAAAACTTTTTGCGCGCGCGCAGCGGGCGCTCGGGGGAAAGAGGGAAGAGACGGAGGAGACCTTTGCCATTGGAGACTCTACCTTTTGCCGCATATCTCTTCGAGAAATGCTTCGATTTTCAAACAAATTTTTGTTTCTGATAGCTGGGAATCATGCGGATATAATGGATGGTGTCTGGAGACAAGTTGGTGCAAAGGCGTTGCAGTAGAGCATTGCGAAATCAACTAATGTTCCTGAAGGTTGGTGTGTCCCCACAAGCAAGGCGCCCTTGTTACCTATTTGTTGGAGTGGAACGTTGTTTTGCATCCGAACACTAATTTCCCTGCAGGCCTCATGAACGAACATGGCATTCCTGCTGATGAGCAAAAAAGAGACGTTCGGAAACAGGAAAATAATTGTGGCATGCCAAATAACCGTAGGCTTCACAAAAGGGTACACACCCAGAGGAAGAAATGCTCATCATCTCCGTCAACCACCAAAAAGTTTTGCTTCACCTGCGCTTTATGCGTCACTGCTGATGATGTGGCTCTATCGTTCCCAGAGTTTTTTTCGTCTGTATGCATAGTTTGACATGAGCAGGTGCTGCATACTACATTTTTCATGGTTCAGGAAAATTTCCCGTCTACGGTGTGGCCTTATGCATGCCTCCTCCGTTCGTTGCGCTCCTTCCTTTCGTTGCACCCATTTCCAACACGAATCGACAGAAACTCAAGCCAGAGCATACATACAGCAGAAGCAAGTTAACGGACGCCCCAACCATGTCAAAACACCCAAAGATGGGAGTGCACAACACTGGGCAAGCAAGGCTCGTACTTCACACTCGAACGTGTGTTCATGCCAACTGTCGCTGCTGCCAGAATCTTCCCTCGACGTTCCGAGTCTCATCCCTCCTCTAGCCAAGCATGTAAAATTATTTATTAGTAGTTTAGCAGCTCAAATGCCAACCAGGACATTCATGGGCGATCAAACGACAGCCACAAACACCTGTTGGCGATGCCGTCAACACTCAACATCCCATCCACCCCCACGTTCTGCACGCATTCCCTCGGCGGAGGCAGCACACGGGATGCGGTAGAGAGATGCGGTAGAGATGCCCCCCGAGCACTCTTTTCATGCACAACCACGCTGGTTCCCGCTCGTCTTGGGCAGCAGAGCATCGTAATTCTCCATCCATCGACCCACCCTCCTCATCCGGCCTCTCCCTATCGCAACATTCTTGCGCCAAGTACGGGCTCGTTGGCTTCCTGCATGCAGAGCGGGCATACGAAGTACAACACATCAGGCCGAAATGGCGTACGATTCGAAAGGGTGGTGCTGGGCAGCAGCAACGGCAGACATGGAAACATTTTCCGCATAAGATCGTAGAACGACAGAAAGACTACAACACTGGCAGAAAAACGCGATTTTGTTGTGATGGTACCACCGCAGTCGTTGAGGTAGCTTCACACGCACCTACGCGAAGCGAACAAAACATCCACCCGCCTTTCTACCGCCAAAATCAACGTACGTGCCAATACACACACGCCGTACACACGGCAAAAAACAAGGGGTGCCGTGCTGATGAGCGCACCAAACATCGGACGGAGGGCAGTAGGACTCCCGCAAAAAAGCGTTACACGATTTACGCAGAGACAGCGTCAAGATAAAATGCGGACGTAAAGTCTCTTGGGGAGCCTTGTTTCAATGTTTCAATAACTGTCTCGAGCGACCTTCGCTCCTGGTCTTTACGGTACTCGACACGAAACAACTGCTGTCACGAAAAAAAAAAACTACTTGAGGAGGAGGACGGCCATTTGCGCGAGGCCTAATTGGTACGCTCTTAATCGCAGCAGCAGCAGCAGCAGCAGCAGCAGGTTTGTGCAGCGGCAGTTGTAGTCAGGTGGATGCCGTCTGCGGCTTGCTGTTCCAGGAATGAGACTCTGTACGATTGACTTCCCGCTGGTGCGCATGTACTGGGGGGGGTGCTACGAAGGTACTATTTAGATCACACAGCCGGCACACGGGCTCCCTCTCTCGGTTTAAGATGCGGCTCTAGCGTAAATAGCCGCCCTGCTCGTCGTCACGATACACCTCTTCGCAATTTGTTGCGAAGGTAGCAGATGACACAACCTGCGCGTCAGAATTGTTTTTACATAGCTTAAGATTGGGCTCTACCGGCTCTACCGCGAAGAGCCGCCCTACTCGTCCTCACGATACACGCTTTTCGTAACTTGAAATTCAACATGCCACTGCTGACCTCGCGGCTTCCACTGATTGGCATTTCCGCCTAAAATATCTACGGGAAAAGAGCGCAGGCAAGCGCAGAGATCGGCCGACTGGTTGACGCTGCAACTGTTGGACGGTAAGTATGTCATGCTAAAGTCCTGACCGACATCATGGTGATGCGCGGGAGCGGGGGAGGGGGGTGTACTCATAGTCGCGCATGCCGCAGTCGTTAGACCATTGACCTCGCATCCCTACAAAGCCGGGACGGAGCACGCCGGGTTCTCACTGGACCAGGCTCTCACATCACCAAGCGCGAAGCGCCGTGAGGTATTCGGCGAGTCGCATGGAGGGTGGCGCGGCATCCTGCTACAAAGGGCGCTGCTTCTTGTGCTTACTTCCTTTCATACGGATGACAACTGCGGATGACTTTGTTAAATTTTTTGGGGGGGGGCGGGGGAGGGTGGAGAGAGATTCACAGAAGGAGTTAAAAGAGGAGTATAACAACACACGGAAACCATTCTTGATCTGCTCGGGACTCCGATGAACCAAAAACTCAGCGTCAAAACGAGGCAAACGCGAACCACAACGAACGGTTGACAAACACACCTGCCGTGTTGGTGAATCCATGATGCATGGACATGCAGCGTTTTCCGTGCAGGCAGCGTCCTTCATAGCGCGCAGTCGCTCATGTTACTGATGTCTCCACACGCGTCCTTCCGCTTTGAAGGTTGGGCACCTCCCGCTGTCGAATAAAATGAGGTTGAACGACAAGGCCCGATGCGGGGCGAAACAGGGACGGTTGGGCTGTGCGCAAAGAAAAGCGAAGGCCGACACACCCATCACAGAGTGCAAAAAGCAGCATACCGCGACTCGTCAGGTATGATGGTACCAAAACGGTGGTGTAGAGGTAAAAGTGGTATACGTAATGAGTGCACAGACACCGCTGTTCTCGTCTACAGCATGGCAGTACAGCAGTAGTAGAGTTTTGAAGTGCGATTGCAATGAGCTCACAGTGGCCATCACTCCACATCGATTTTCGTCGATGCACTTTGAAACACAACTATAAAATAACAATTGCTGACATGCACACAACATGGTTAATTATCCGTGATGGAACGCTAAAAAGGCAAGCGAAAGGTGAATTAGGAGCAACGAGGTAACACTGCTGTACGAACGACTGCTGCTCATGGACGATATCGACGGTATCTCTACTGGCTGTTGGAGACTTTAGATGTACCGGGCTTGTAGTTCTCTCTCCCCGCACTACTGTATGCAGATGTAGCTGGCAGTGCGAACGTCTTCACCCTCTTACCTCTCTTGATACAGCAGCAGGTGGTAGCATGGTGTACTGCTGTGCTGCAGCAACAGGTAGGTCCATCCACTGGTCAGGGGCAGCAGGAGCATTGGGCCTCGCCATCATACCCCAAGTGGTCGACTACTTCGTCTGCAGACAGCAGTGTTCTATGCAGAGCTATGCAGATGATGCGCTCCAATGCTCAGGCCGTACGACTGCCCATCAATGTGTCCGTCGCACCAGACTTCGCTCCAGCCCTTCGCCTTGTCCTTCCCTTGCTTGGCTAAACAAGCATCGCTGCCAACTAGAGTCGCGGAGAAGAGCATCGCTCCAGCAGGATAGGGCATGACAGCAGTACTCTAGGTGCGGCGCTACCTCGGCGTGCGCGCGCGATGCAGAGCAAATGCAGAGCAAATGCAGGGCACTGATTGGCCAATGCAGAGCAAAAAGGTTTCGATGACCTTGCATTTTTACGATGCAGAGCATAATGAAGCTCTCTGATTGGTCAATGCAGAGCAGATCTGGCCCGCTACATACCAGCTTCGCCGCCCCCCCGCCAGGTGCGCCACGCGACGGGGGGACGCGAACAGTATTTACCGTATGACAACAACAGGATATTTTGATGCGCGTCGCCCCCCGCAGATCGCACAACCAAACACAACAGTCGAAAGATCGCCATTCACCACCCACAGAGCAGAGCTACACAAAGAGAGAAAAGCGGCGCGAGACGAAAAGGAAAACAGGATCCTGCTTCGACCGCGCTTCTGCAAAGTGGAAAGGTGAAAACATGTGGGGGAGATTCTCGTACGAAGTGCGCGCTGCAGACAGGTTGAGAGATTTCGAGTTAGCGAGATGTGACGTCCCGGTGAAGTTCGGTTAAAAATATTAGTTTGACTCGATCCTTGCCCATGCCTTTGATGGAGCTCTGTGTACGTCGCACATTTTCTTCATTTTCCGGGGTCGCGTTCTGCACTCTTTTTGCGATATTTTACCGTGATGCCCTCCTGTGGTGGGTGGGGTGTAACCAGGGCGCAGCGCTTCGTGGCATCTGTGCGCGCACGCGCAGATACCGTATGTTGAAAGAGCTTACGAGTGTGCAAGACGGGACGCAAGCGGCAACCCCAGCGAAATCCGGCGTGTGGCCTGATATCTTTCCTTATTTGTCCATGCAATGTGTTGCCGGGGTCGTGTTCTGCGTTGTTTTTTTGTGATTTCCGTGATGTTGGTTGAACATGCCCTCTTGGCGGGTGATGGAGGTGTATGTATGTAGTACTGTTTGTAGTAAGTATTGTAATGACCAGGCCGCAGCGCTTTGTGGCATCGGTGCGCGCCGCAGACACACACACATGGAAGGGTTACGATTGTGCGAGACGGAAAGCACACGGCAACCCCGGTGAATTTCGGCGCGTGGCCTGAGGACATGAACTGTTTGCCCATGCATTTTGCTGGTGTGTGTCGCACCGTTTATTTTTCCCGCGGTCGCGTTTTGTAATTATTTTTCGTCTTCTCGATGACGATGATGATCATTTTTTACTCCCACAAAATATGAATGAAGGAGTATCGCTCTCAAGTTCACCAGACTTGGTTCTCTTCCATATGTGTATGAGGTGTGGAATACACACACACCTGGTCTCACTCTCGATACGGCGAGAGGGCAGACGAGAAGGAAGAAGTGTGTGTTTAGAGAGACAGGAAGCAGAAATAACAAGGTTGCGAGAAAAATGGGAACCTATTTTGAAATGGGAATCAACCGGTCTCCGGGATTGTGTCCATCAGTTCGATTTAGTTTCGCTCGAAAGCGCTTTCGTGGAGTTTATGTTGCCAGAAAGAGTTCCAACGGGCGGCCTACGGAGAGCGACATGTGCTGTGGTGATCGATGGCGGGAAACGTGGCGGGAGGTGGATAGAATACGTCTTACCGGGAGGGAAGAATTGCTTCTTCGGCACAGATTCTGGCTGGGAGTTTGCCTGGCTTAAAACGTCGATACTCTTTTTGTTCTTGAATGTGCTTGAGGCGGTAGATAAGCATCCTGTCACGGAGAATGGATATCCGACTCCGCACGAAGCATCTGAACTCGGGCGGTAAGGGGGCTAGCGTGTGTCGGAACACATCTCCATGCGGGTCCACCGCTCCCAGGAACCACCCACGCTCTCCCGTGGCCGCCCCTCAATAACTTTATTTAAATGTCATAGGAAACTCTTGTTGAAGTCACGAACAATGAACACACCATCAGGAAGACGCAGTCGTGGCAGTCACCGTGCCTGGGACAAAGTCACTACGCGGAATGTCACGCAAAGTTCACCTTTTATCGAATCTATAAGCCCATGCAACACCGGTAACAAGTCGTCCCACTACTGACCCCTCACCCTTGTTGTGTCCTACGTGGTCTGAAATGGGCAGCGGTCAACCGTACGCCGGGCGCTGGAGGAGCACTTTGCGAGTCACTGCGAGAAGGGTGCGGGATCGGGCCGGTGTCCCTCGTGTGAGGTGGAATAGTGGGAGATGGAGCCAAACCTGATTGCTCTTCCCCTCGGCACCCCCCCGCTGCCCCCCCCCCCTCGACGCCGTCTGCATCCGAATCACTGTCGTCTGTCTCCGCTTCCTCCAGAGAGGAAGACGGAACGCTCTCTTCAACAGCCGCCCACACCCCACTTGGCAGTTTCCCGCTCTGAAGCAAGGACTGGAAGGTGAAACATACGGATTTGATCGACTCCGTACTCTGATCCGGTGTGAGCTTGTTGTCCTGCTTGAGAAACTGTTGCGACCATACGCCCCTCCCGTACCTCGACCGACGGCATTTTTTACGAGAAACAGGCGCAAACCAATTGATGAGCACCTCACCCCCATTCTCGCCGCCGGATTCCACGCTTACTATTTGGCCAACCACCAGTGGGCAAGTATTCGTCATCTCCAAAGGCAGAACGGCAAACCACCCAGGCTGCAAGCGCAAACTGTTTCCGGCGCCCCCACCCCCACTCTCTGTCAGTGGCCCATCCGGCAACGCCTCCGGCGACATGGTGTCCAGAGCTCCGCTGTCACCGGTGCCATCGCCACCGGGGCTCTCGTCGCCCGAGCTCTCGTCGTCCGAGCTCTCGTCATCCGAGCTGTCGGTGTGAAGCCCAGCTGTTCTCGTTAAGCTCGGAAGATCCCAGTCCTTCGTCCCCGTTTCACGCAGCAGCTCAACCGAGAGGTTCATCTCACGGACAATCTCGCTTCGCTTCGCAGGATCTGCATCGGAAGAAAGAAGGGCGTCGATACATGCACGTAATGCTTCACAGGGTTAGGTTGGTGTGGGGTTGGCTATTGTTCCACCACGAGGGACGACAATAGCAAACGGCGCGAAAGGCGTCGGTGACAGGTACCCTACCCTCCCCGGAAATGAAATTTCGAGCTGCGTTCGACCTATCGCCCTCGAAACAGGTAATGGAAACACAACGAATATCTTAATATTCTCCCGCTCCCTGTCAAAAATAGCGAAAGAGGTTAACGACTCGTAATGACATACATACTTTTTGGAGGACATCGAGTAGAGGCGGGAGGACACCAGATATTCGTGACGGGGGGAGTAAAGACGCGGTTGTCGGTCTCACGGAGGGAGTAGAAAAACCGCTGTTGTATGTATGCGTTGAAAAACCGTTTGTGAACACACACCAAGACCATTCCACCGTTATCCATCTAAAGGCTAAATGGCACAAGGTCTTACCGTCGGGAAACAAGGCCTCCAATCTCGGGACTACAGAGTCGTAGCGCTGCTGAATTTTGACAAGGGTGTCCTGTTCAACAGCCTTCAGCTCGAAAGGGGGGGCGTCTGCTGCGTCCGGGATGCCTCCAACGAACACCTCGTGCGGCTTTCCAGCGAATACTCCATCTCCTGTCATGCCCCTATATACCTCGTGGTGCATGAATTCCTTCATGCCCACCGTCACCTGGGAAGGAGAGAAGGTTTACGCGGAATGTTGTAGGCACGATATGGTTAGGCCGTCTTTCAATAATGTGGATAGACAACTGAGATGGGTAGAGGGGCGTTACGCAGTAGTGCCTCGAAACTCACGTGTCGTTGTTCGAGCGAAGCGAGTTTCTGATCCACACCAACCCATGACGTAATAGCGCTCGCGCTTTTCGAAATAGTTTGTGCGTTGTGCGTGCGTGCGTGCGTGTCTTCGACTAATTTTAAATTAGTAGAAATTAGAGTGCGATCACTTGAGAATAGAGGGCCGCCGGGGGTGGACAGTACGGCCAAAAATAAAACAGCCGCGCCGCTCCCACAGAATTAATACCACCGGGCAGTTCTCGGCGTTGAGGCCACTGGGAGGCATCCGAATACCTCCATCGTGTGCTCCGTTGTGATATCTCACGGGGTGACGATCGTGTGAGGCATGAGGTAACTGTGTGCCGAGAGCTTCATGGTAAAAGGTGCTTAGCGCGCACGCAGCATGCAGCACACCGCAAGGAAAAAAAAACGAGGGGGGTTGGCAAAAGACTGCAATGAAAAAATAGATTAAGGGGGAATACCCGGCGCCAACGGGGAACCAATGAATACCATTTCCATTCTGCTGCAGATACACGAACGGGCACATCAAACCTACCGCCGTATCGGCTCTCTTCCACCGGCGGTGGCCCTCGCAACCACACGAACGATCCGCCTGAGGGTCTGACGACAGTTACACCTATCACCTGTCGCTCGTTTTGGCGACAGCAACAATATTTTCAAGGGGCTGAGCCCGTACACTGTTACGCCAACGAAAGTGGGCGCACGAGCACACCGCTTTCCTGTAACACACCTGCGTAGGGCCGTCTTTGAGGAGTTGGAACGCTCGTGCCTTGGTCATGCCGCCCAACCTTTTTACGACAACTCCCGGGATGAACACGCCTTTGTAGTTGCCGAGGTTTCGAAGGGTGGTGGTGTGGACGGGCAACGTCTTGTACGCGGCGGAGAAAGCCTCCGCCTGCTGTCCCCGCGTGAACAGGTTACGACGCTTGCACCCAACAGCGAGCCTTGTACACAAAAAAAGGAGAGTGACGATACAAAAAAAAAACACGTGTACCGGGGGAAGCCATCCGTGAGGAATCATATGACCCGCAATAAGGTCAACACAAGGTAAAGAAGCCAACACCATATGGAAATGTCGCCATCATACTGGCCATGACGTCGTGGACGGAGCGGGTAACCAGCAGAACACCGGACAAGAGCGGGAAGGCAATGCCAGACAGTACAACACATCATGAACCCAAAAAAGGCACACTATCTACTAGATATACCCAAAATAGGCTGAGGACGACAATACACATGAGTCGGGTGGAAAACACATCTAGCTGGAGACAACGGTGAATGGGAAAGGCCGGAATAGTTCAGCCCAATATAATTACCGACGACGATTGCGGTGCCAGGAACCTTTGTTGTACCTACAAGTAGCGACGTCCCCACAAGGTCCACGGACCCGGCGTGTGAAAACTCTAAGACCAGAAACCGAAAGCAAGTGCATGCGAATCGATGCAATCGAAGCCAAGCCCCCATAATCCGCAAGAAATAAATAGGTCAGCATGCAGACAAAGAGATCAATCCACACACACACCTACCTGGAGAAAACTTGGTCGATCTTGATGTGGGTATGCCCCACAGGCATGAACTGCACCTCCACCTCGCCAATGATGCCCTGGGCGACGAGGGACCCGAGGTAGCCGATCACTATGTGGTTCTTGTTTTCAGACACACAGTTGTCAACTTGGATCGTGAAGCGATAGATGTATGGTCGCTTCCCGACCGGAACGTACATCTCGAACAACCGATGGAGGATCCGGTGAATAGAGGTGCAGATCAGGTTGCAACCTGCGTCGGGAACGCCGATGACAAGTTAGCTGGCACGTGGAGTCGAGGCGAAACCAATATCGACAGCAAGGCAAGTTACGCTTGAAAACATTGAGTAAACAAAGCACAGCCTAGGTGTGCCTACACGAAACACAGATCCGCCTCCAACATGAAAAGGAGACGGCGACTCTACATAACACAGTTGGGATACATTCATGGTGGACACACAAAATATTTATCGCCAACCAGACTAACGGCGCCCAAAGGTTCAGCGGTGCAGAGAAATAGATGATGATCGCGACCTTAATGTATCCACGCCTCACCTCCTCCGAGATTCTGCGGGGTGAGGAAGATCTCGACGAACTGGCCCTCTACGTGCACAGCATGCACTTTTTGGCGTTCAGCGTAGCCCCTGAGGTATTTAATTTAACGCGACGAGGTGAGCAACATGTGGACAACTCTTCTTGAATCATATATTATTTTCGACTATATTACTCAACAACGAGGGTGATGTGCCTAAAGGTGTATTCACTAGGACAACTATTTCGACGAAACAGTAGTTGAATGCCACCACTTTCGGCGGCGCCCCTCTCTGTACAATATGTATATTGTGGACGAATAAAGCACGGAAAACTATCCCGGGTCAAAGTGGCATCATACATGTGACCTTAACACGTACGATTCATCGATTGCGTGTTGCAGCGAGCCCCCGTCATCCTGCATATATCACCATACCTTCAGCGGGTTCGTCAACATGACTTGGGGAAGCAGACGCTTTCGATCCCCAACCGGCACTACCGCGGTCATGATGGTATGTCGGCGGTACTGCTGTACGACCCCCCGCCTCCTGACATCGGGCATCGCCGGGGTGAAATCTAGCTTGGTGTTGACGTAACGCCCTCGTGTCACGCGCTTCCGTCCCGCAGAAACAGGGAAATCTTCCTTGTTTTTTATGGGACGTCGCCCGCTCCGCCTCGCGCCCGGCCATTACTTATGTATACATATGTC